GCTGTGCTTTGTATGATGAGTGTAGAGAACCGGAGGCCCTTTTTACTGGAAACGAGGCATTCTATCTTAGTCCACACGGCTGACAACGCATCTGCATTTTGATTTGCGAAATCCAATCCGCTTGTCACCTTTGTCCTATAAAAAAACAGCGCCAACTACTGGGTAGTGAATCTGTAACATTCAGGAATCCACACACACACAAAAAATCATCGAAATCGGTCCAGCCGTTAAGGAGGAGTTCAGTGATAAACACATGTACAGAAAAATGATGTAAGTATATAATTCTTAATCTTTATATATAAAAATTACGTGTCACATTGTTTGTCCGCGATGAACTCCTAAACTACTAAACTGATTTCAATGAAATTTTGCATACTGTGAGCAGTTTTGTCCATTTTCAGAAATAGGATAGTTTTTATCCCGATAAGTAACCCTTAACCTTTTTTTATTAGGAATTTAAGGATTTTTTATTGGAGAAAGGATCATCTCAGGAAAGGGCAGAACAACGTCTGCCTAGTCAGAACATTTTTTATTAGGAATTTAAGGATTTTTTATTGGAGAAAGGATCATCTCAGGAAAGGGCAGAACAACGTCTGCCTAGTCAGAACATTTTTTATTAGGAATTTAAGGATTTTTTATTGGAGAAAGAGTCATCTCAGGAAAGGGCAGAACAACGTCTGCCTAGTCAGAACATTTTTTATTAGGAATTTAAGGATTTTTTATTGGAGAAAGGGTCATCTCAGGAAAGGGCAGAACAACGTCTGCCTAGTCAGAACATTTTTTATTAGGAATTTAAGGATTTTTTATTGGAGAAAGGATCATCTCAGGAAAGGGCAGAACAACGTCTGCCTAGTCAGAACATTTTTTATTAGGAATTTAAGGATTTTTTATTGGAGAAAGGGTCATCTCAGGAAAGGGCAGAACAACGTCTGCCTAGTCAGAACATTTTTTATTAGGAATTTAAGGATTTTTTATTGGAGAAAGGGTCATCTCAGGAAAGGGCAGAACAACGTCTGCCTAGTCAGAACATTTTTTATTAGGAATTTAAGGATTTTTTATTGGAGAAAGGGTCATCTCAGGAAAGGGCAGAAGAACGTCTGCCTGGTCCTAGCTGACCATTATTATATAATATTATACTTATATGACCGATCTGTCGACTAAGCGTGGCGATTATAGCAAATTCTCCCAACTGTGGGAAGCTTTCCCATTTACTTTCCTACTGATTGATTGTCCTGCAAGATATTATTTAGTAACGGGCTATTGATAAAAACGAATTTTATTAATAAAATTATTATAAATTTGATATCGGCCTTTTCCAGCAATTTCAGTTAATGTAAAAATTCGTGAAGCGTAAAAGCCGATTCGTGTCGTTGCAAGTAGTCTAGGATCGCTGTACACAAGCCAGACATTTGCGTCTGAGAGGAAATGAAATCATATTTTGTATTGGAAATCAAATGTAAGGTTTATTTCGGTAGGCAATTTAGATAAAAACGAGAAAGTGACATGTAAATCTAAGAGCACCCATTGAAAGCTTTTAGTATCTAATTGTGTCAAATGCATAACATCGTAGAAAGTATCTAAAAAAGTAGGCGAAAAACTCGGAAATCTATGAAGAAGAAATATAGGTTCCGGTTTAGCATATTTTTTGCAAATCATAGTAAATATGAATATGATTAAGAAATCATATTCATATTTACTTTTTTTTAAAGGATAGGGTGACAAACGAGCACACAGTCCACCTGATGGTAAGTGGCTGCTTTGGCCCATATACATCTACATCTATCCTCGTTTGCGAATTAAAATGCAGACGCGTTGTCACCCGTGAGGACTAAGATGGAATGCCTCTTTGCTAGTAAAAAGGGTTTCCGGTTCTCTACACTCACCATACGAAACACAGCAGTGTGGAGCTGCTATTTTACGCTGGTATTTTGTGAGAGCGTGATCCTTCCTCGGTCGAGTCGACGCATTTGTGCTACAACTATACTACTAATATAGCTGCAGCATGGCTCTACCACGTAAAAAAATTAAGTGTACTGTTAAATTTGTAAAAATACGGAAATACGTATCAAGTAATATCAGCGATAGTAGGTTGAGGTGTGGTCGGGGTGGCCCAAGGGCCACCCTAAAACCTCAGACAGTTATCTAATCTATAAATTATATTGACCTAGTATTAGCCGGCTAAACCTAGATGTATCCGCACTTCGGCTTTTAGCCGTAACACATACGTAAGACATATAAACAAATTAACAAACGAAATTTACGCCAAAGAAATAAATAGTATTTTATTTGAATTACGTAACGAGACGAGAGCGGTCATTATCCTTACCTGAATGGAATACAATATTTTTTTATTCAACAAAATATTGTAAATCTATACAAATAAATAAAATTGAAGTGTCTGTTTGTAATGTCAAAATTACAGCTTTTTACTAAATCCATATGAAAGTATACATGGCACTTATAACAAAAATACAATTTTTAAAATTTTTGTCTGTCTGTCTGTTTGTTCCGGCTAATCTCCGAAACGGCTGGACTGATGTCATAAGGAGTAACTTAGCCTACTTTTATTTTTAGAAAAAGAATTAGGGTTCCGCGCAAATAAATTAAAACGCTAAATTACATGCGAGTGAAGTCGCTGGGAACAGCTTGTAATATAATATAGTGGTAGTAGTAGAAGTAGTTAATTCTCTGGCGGGAATAGAAAGTAAAAAGTTTAAGCAAGCCATCAAACTTATGAACATGGGGGGAAACTTTGCACAGCTTTGGTTTATTATTACCACACTGCAAGGTCAACAAAAGTGGTTTGCTACTAATCCGCGTGATTATGATAAAGATTTTCGTTTATTTAGTCGCCAATCTATCGGGGGCAACAAAGTCTTATATGCGCATTTTTATATAAGTAACTTTGACAAAAATGAGTCCACAGTTCACCTAATGGTAAGTGAATGCTGCGGCCCGTGGATCTATTTCTCGAATATGAATCTAAACACATAATATGCATTTTGTTTACCAAGATGAAATGTCTCCTAATCATTAAAAAGGGCATTTTGTTTTCGTCACACACCATACCAATATTTTCGTATTCGTACTGCAGCCTAAATACTAACCACTACTAACTGCAGTACGGTTGTACCAATACTAGTGAATTTTTTTAGTCGTCCCTCGAGGCGCCAATGTGATATAGAATGATAAAATTTCCTAATGTTACCACACCGTAATCATCCAAGATATAGTTAATAGTTAGTAAGTTAATAGTTTAGTAAATTTTCAAGTTTAAAATATGCTTAGGTTATTAATAGCAGCTAAAATCAGGGTAAAAACACTCGAGTCCAAGCCTCTCACAACAGCTTTCGTCCCCTAATCACGTTAGCGCGCCAGCGAGCGATATCCGCTTACCGTCTAATGTGATTCTCAATTTATTCACGCGCAAATTTTGCTTTATGCTAGTGTTTAACAGTAAAAAATCTTCACCGTCCTAAATTGGGGATAATTCACATTTTTAAACATAATTTTAGGATAACTTTTTATAATAAATTATATAGTCTATGATAAATTTTAAAATTACTAAAAATCTTTTTTGACAGTGTTCTTTAACTTACCTTCTCCTGAATAGCCTTTTATGTAGAATGCGCCAAACAATACATAATTTAAGCCTACGTAAAAGATTAATAGCTATTATGAGGAGTCAGAATGTGTCAAATAAGGCACATATGGCAATTCATAATACTGTGTTAGTCCCTACTTTAATGTATGGTAGTGAAAGTTGGGTCTGGCAGAAGAAGCATGAGAGTAGAATAAATGCTGTAGAAATGCGGTCCTTAAGGAGTATGCTAGGGCTGAATCTGAATGACAGGGTGAGAAATAGTGTGATAAGAGAAAAGTGTGGTTTGCAAGATGACGTTGTGACAAGGATTACGAAAGAAATGCTTCGGTGGTTTGGTCATGTAGAAAGAATGAACGAGGAAAGAGTGACTAAGCAAATTTATGTTGAAGAAGTGAACGTCAGGGTCGGGAAGGGACGCCCTAGACGAAGGTTTATCGACCAAATCGGCGATACATTAAATATGGGCAAGATTAGGAGTACCCTTAACCGACGATCGTGTATGCGTAGATATATGGATATAAAGGAGGTGAGAGAGGTGTGTCAGGATCGCGCCAAATGGAAGTCCGTAGTCTCTGCGTACCCCTCTGGGTGAAAGGCGTGAGTTTTTGTGTATAAAAGATTAGTTGTAATAACATTTGGCTCTATACCCTACTAGGAAAACTGGTAATAATGTGATTTTCAAATGTATTGTCACAGTGGAAATTAGTATTTAGTAAGAACGAGTTTCTCCTAGTTGAAATTTTTTCTAAATGCTTTTACTAAATACTTTAAGTAAAACAGTTTTTACTAAATGCTTTCTTATAACTTGAATTTCCTAGCAATATAAAACTAGTTTTTTCTTTAAAAGTAAAATTTTAATATTTATGGAATGAAATCAATGTGTTTAGAAAGTTTTTAATTAACTTTATCAAAACGCACGCGTTTCAACACTTTAGGTCTCACAATAACACCATTATTTATTTTTGTCGTTCAGTCTTCTTTTTTTAATCGTTTATTTAAATAATTTCCCTCTGTGTTATTGCTATAATTAGAAACTACAGATACAATAATGCGAAGAATAACCGCATTACCGTAAGAATTCATAATAATAGGCTATCGGCGTGGAATGATTGAATTGAAGAAATCTGCTGCTCTATCTCTCCAACTTATAATGAATAATCTTTTTTCATATAAAGACGAAATCCTTCATATCGTAGCGATAATAAGAAAATAATGTTACCGCAAAGTACTTTCTGTTTGTATAGGTATTGTAATAAAGAAATTCATCGTTGTTGTTTGTGTCGACCTTCACAGAAAATTAATAAGTTTTATCCTACAACGATAATCAATTTCGATAAAAATAGGATATTAGTTAATGAGGTGCTTGCCTATTTCTATTAAATATAATATTTCTTACCTTCTCTTCTTGTAAAGGTGAAGTTCCGATATGGAAAACTAATGAGATCGAACTGTGAGAGCGTCATGCCGGGCACAAAATTTACGCTTTGCGAATTCTGCCATTGGTATACCAACTGCTGGTTAGAGTATGCGTCTAGAAAATAATAATTTTTAATTATTTTATCAAAACAAATACATGGATAGCATATTGTATATTTGAAGAATGATGATGAAAAAAAAAAAGGATTTAACCTATCTATCATTCAATCAATCAATAAAATAATGTCAATATGTTCCCAAATATTATTAGGTCCTTATATATGAAATTGGCGTTTTGACGAAGTGGCCGCTTCGACAAATATCTGGCGTTTGGTTATGAATTCCAAATTCAAATTTATTTAAAATTTAGGCTTGTGTATTTGTGTTTAGAACTTAGTGGTTCATTTGTTTTCGCGCCATTTGATTTTTCTTAGACATCGTTCTGTTCATAATATGGAAAACTTAAAATATCGCTTTATTTCCGAATACGAGTTCCATGGTGGCACCAGCGCTGCAGAAACATCTCGAAGGATTAATGATGGATACTAAGAAGCTACTGTTAAAGAAAACACGGTACGTTTTTGGTTCCAACGTTTTCGTTCTGGAAATTTTGACCTACAGAACAAACCCTGTCTGTCATTGTCAACTAGGGTCTCTAGCCTAGTTGACAATGAAGAATTAAAAGTGATTGTGAAGCGGTTGCATCGCAAATCACGTCAAAGTTAGCGGCAGGCCTCGGTGTGAGCGATAAAACAATTTTAGCTCACTTAAAAGAAATTGAAAAGTAAATAAGCTCGATAAATTGGTACCGCGTGAATTGAGTGAGGCACACCAACAAACACGCGTCGAGTGCTGCCCTACATTACTCAACCGTCACAATAACGAGGGGGTTACTTGTAATAAAAAATGGATTTTTTACGATAACCGGAAATCCTCATCACATTGGTTGAACCCAGGAGAACCTGTTAAATCCTGCCCCAAGCGAAAGTTGACTCAGAAAAAAGGTACTGGTAAGTGTCTGGTGGACTAGTGCTGGTGGCATCGACTAGAGCTTCCTAAGATCTGATCAAAAGATTACGGTAGATCTGTATTGTCAACAATTGCAAATACTTTGATTGAATTAATATATGATTTAATTTTTTTTTTCGTTTTGCTTTTTCCATATAAAAAGCCAATTGCATATATAAGAAGTTTATATTTTCCTAGTTTTTAAACTACACAAAGAAAAATTATAAGCATATAATGATTATAATATAAACATATAATTTTTTCTATTATCTTGATTCATTAATTCTTTTGAATTACTAATTTTAATGAAAATATTAATATTAAAACGATTAGAAGCCTTACGCGCTTCTTAAATATGAACACCGAAATCGTTTCTGTATTCGAAAGAAAATCAAAATTATATGATTAAAGGTAGTTTTAGGTTTACTGCCATACACACTAAAGAAGGTGATATATCTAAAGACAGAAGGAAAAGAAACATGAAATAACGTACTACAAAATGGACAATATAGCCATGGTAAAACTCAAAGTCACAGATTACATAATATTACTCAGAGTACACAGAATTCGTAGCTCTGAGTTGAAACTATTAAATATATTAATGTTTCTTAAATATTTTAAAGAATACTCTTAAATATTTTTTTTACGTTTGGCTCTTTTGCAAATACATAAACAAATTTACGTGGTAGAGCCATGCTGCAGTTATATTATGGTTGTAGTTCATACTATTATTTATTCCGCGGTTGCAGCTCGAATGTGTCGGCTCGACTGGGAAAAGACCACGTTCTCATAGAATACCAGCGTAAAATAGTAGCTCAATTCTGCTGTGTTTCGTATGGCGAGTGTAGAGAACCGGAGACCCTTTTTACTGGAAACAAGGCATTCCATCTTAGTCCATCAGGTGGACTGTGTGCTCGCTTGCCATCTTCATTCTATAAAAAAAAAAATACATAAGTAGGCGTAAATACTTACAACTTCCAAGAATAAGGGGACAAGACTGTCTGTCCATTGGAAAATTACGCAACTCCATTGGACATTTCGCTTTAATTGTCAATCTGTAAGTTACGTTTATGTTAAATGAAATCGTCTATTTAAGCGACACTGAAATAACTCTAAAAGGATTACATTTAAAGCCTCTGTAAAACACTTTGTTTCCTAAAGCACCAATTGATGATCAATTCCATGTAAACGGATTACCAATTCAATGACATTAATCTATGAAAGACCATTGAACAGTTTTGCAATAGCGGCTGCTTTTAATGCTGCAGCTGAATTAAAAAAAATAATTTGAAGCGACAGTGGCATAAATCATTAAGGCTACGGACTACGACATTCAAAAGTCGTGGGTTCTATTCCGTTATTCGACTACTATCGCAATCCACTCCTAGCTTAAGCATTTTAAGCTTAGCGTCAAATGCTTATAGTGTTAAAAGTACTAGTGTTCTCGAAAAATATATTATGTATATATTTTAACATGGTACTTTAAATTTAAACTACTCTGTAGTGAGCAAACAGTAGACATTGAGACCCACAGAAAGATACAAAGTTATTTGTATTTGGACTAGGGCGAAAAAAGAATTATATTAAGAAAACAAAAGAGATTTTAAGATGCTGTTTTTATTAACGGATCGTTTAGACACGTTACGTGTGTGTTTATTAATATAGTATGAATTCATTCATCCATTACAACCCATTAAAGTCCACTGCTGCACATCGACCTCTCCATTGATTATCACAGATTTTGCTATAGTCGTCACGGTGGGCTTGATATTATGAAATTATTAATTATATGTAATATAACTTCGACGTTTTGTCTTGTGTAATTTATGTATCTATAGTGCCCCCACGATACAGGAGAAAATCCTAGTGTGGAGGTTATGTTTTTTGAGGTTGTGGATGGTTTGTCTGACTCTGAGTGCAGCATTAACTTTCTGTAGGTTTTAAAAACTCACTAACAACAAAAAGCCTGATTTTTATTATTAATGATATTGATCAATGCTAAATATTGGTTGATATGAGGAATAAGAAATAATAATGGCGAATAAATTTATACGAAGTATTTCCATCCCAACTACTATGTCTAAAACAGACACAGATGTTATGTCTTTTTTAGACATAGTAGTTATAATAAAGATAGTAATTTTTAAACAAACCAAAGCATTAGAAATCGTCAATCGTTTCAAAATGTTAATCTGGGATCAAAAATTTTGGTATAATACTTATCTATATTAAAATTCCAATTTTCGAACGAATTTTTTTAATTATATTTTTCTGTTCAGTTCCAGAAAACTTTAAAAGGTCCACGAGTAAATGGAAGCACTTTTTACTATACTATTTACTATAATAAATGAAAACATATAAATTTTCTAAGAATGAAGAATGTTGCAGACATCAACCGTCGACGAATGTTGCAGACAACAAGACGTCAATTATAGGGAAATAAAAATGCGACCCGGATTTGTACGTACTCCCTTATCTTGACTTATACCGGTCTGAAGAATCTATACTGTTAGTTATTTTCATCGTAAGATCATTCAATTTGTCATAATTTATTCGCCAAACTCAAATAAAATTTATTGCGATTTGCGGCAAAAATGATACGCTCGAGTAACAGGAGTATGGCATTTTTCATTTTGTGGGTATAACCGGGACGCAATTTTCTTTAACGTCTTAAATTAATGATCATATCTCTGTTTAAATTTTATTTGACTTTTTTCTGATTAGTTATTACTCTGACAATATATATTATTTTTATACAAAAATAAAGAAATCAAATGTAGAATTTATTATCTGATATCCTATACATTTAGCGCTTAAGTATGCGCTATGTTACATTTAAAAAGCGCCGTACTGGTAAGTTTTAAAATAAAAGGACCGGAATGGAATGTGTTCAATGAATGCTATCATGCGCCGTATTGGAAAAAAATATTGTTAGGGTATGATTGGCAGAGAATGCCATATGGCATTAAGTTGGGCGGACTTGTTCCCTTTATTTAAAAAGGTTTTTACATTAAATAATAAATAAATAAACTTTATAGTGAAATAACATACCTATTAAAAAAATACGAGTATAGACATTATAAAAATATTAATATTCTTTTACCTCATAGAATACAGTATATCACCATGTTGGCTGATCCTTAAAAGCTTGTTAGGGACGGTAATAGTGTGCACGTAGGAGTGCTTTCCATTGTAGAAGTACGTGTCGGGTCGCCATATCCTTTCCAGCATTTTGATAGACAGGGATAGAGAACGAATCGGTCCGAGAAACGACAGGCGCGTGTCACGCCAATACTGCCTAAAGTAACAGTCCATTGAATAATCCTGTGGGGCAAAAAGTATTTTATAACTCTGCCTTCTAAACATAAATAAATTATGGCACTTTATATAGAAACAAAAGAAAGATAGAAAGAGATATTTATTTGACTAGTTCTTTACTATTTTGTTAGGCTCTGGCATTTATTTAATATGTTATATGTTATACATCTGACAACGGTTCTAGAATCTCTACAAATAAATAAAATTGAAGTGTCTGTTAGTAATATCAAAATTACAGTTTTTTACTAAATGCATATGAAAGTACTAATAACAAAAATACAATTTTTAAAGTTTTTGTTTGTCTGTCTGTCTGTTTGTTCCGGCTAATCTCCGAAACGGCTGGACCGATTTTGACGGGATTTTCGCTGGCAAATAGCAGATGTCACAAGGAGTAACTTAGGCTACTTTTATTTTAGAAAAAGAGTTAGGGTTCCGCGCAAAAAATTTAAAACCTTAAATTACTCGCGGGCGAAGTCGCGGCGAACAGCAAGTGTCAAATATATCCTTGTTATATGACTCATACATTATATGATTACAACGTTTCCTATGGGAAATGTCATGTTAATTATTGGTTGATATAAATACAATTGTTTTTTAAGCTTCTGTGAATTGTTTATGACAAATCTAAATGTTTCATGTTGCTTCTTTTTATGACTTTTGGTATTTTTATAACTTTGATTAGAAAATAAGATTTAAAATAATTTGCATGTTTTGAATATCTTGTTACTCTTTATATCTTCTAAAATCACGAATCTAAAAGTTTGAATCAAAAAGTTCGCTGTCAAAATCCCTATTAAGTATTGATAAAAAGAAACAAATTTTATGTTATTTTTGTTTTTAAATATATTGAAGAATAAACCATTAAAGATTAAATATTTTTGCAGGCAAAAGATTTTCTGGACCATCATTGAATTGTTTTTGCAAGCGTAAAGTTGAAGACTTTTATGGACCGATACTGAAATATATTTGATGAAGCTTCAAGAAATTAGTTTGAGACTATTATACATTCCTAATTTTATTATGAAAACGGTAAAAACGTATTAGTACTGACCATATCGAGTTCTGACACCGGTCCCATGCTCCTTATTAATATATTTGTTTGTACAACTGTAGGGTATCCTGTAAAGCAAAATTGTCAAGTCAGATTTTAGTGATAATGAAGTCTTCTGGTTACGTCGGGTTATGTCTGAGGACTTGCACTGATTAAAACCCCATGGTGTTCCACCTCCGTCGCACATCGTTAGGGTCATGGAAAATCTTTCGCATACAACCGCAAGTTCACCAAGGCCAAACATTTATTGGGGGCATCACCTAGAGATAGAACTCTCTTGATTTTCTTAGCAAGGCATAGTGCTATTACACGGCTTTCATCTTCACTCGCGTAACGAAAACCTCCGAATCCACCTCGAGGAGGCCACTAAGAAAAGAAGTAAGAGTGTTCATGGAAATATAAACCTTATTGACCCTATGCAGATCTAGATTTTGTCACCGCCGACCTTATTTTAGTCACAGAGGGCAGGGATAGCGGTGAATCGTGATAAAACCAGCACTCTCTCCCCCCGTAGCTCCTACACCGCCATATTAATAATGCGGCTTCGCTATCCTCAAAGAGAAAAGTGCGTGTGATGCCATACCAACATTCTTCTTTTCCCCCGACTCCACCTCAGCTATGGCGGACTAAGGTGAGGAATGATAAGGAAATTGTTAAGAATTTGCATTAATAGTAATTAATAAAAACATGCGTGAGTGTCGTGGAACACTCGGTTAGAACGAAGTTCCTTTCGTAGTATATTATTATTGATAAACATATTATATTATTGATTAACAAATACAAATGAAATCAATTAATTACAAGCGTCTATTAAAATTAAGCGTCATTTAAACTAATATTTCTTTCGTGGCAAGATAAGAAAAAGTGCGAGGGAGATGGATATTATTCCATATCGCTAGCACTATAGAAAGGGAGTCGTGACGGAAAAATCTTACACTTTTACTCGCCTGAGAGCCCTGGTAGCTCAGATGGATAGCGCTCGCTGTAAATTTCATTGTACGCGAGTAACCCGGGTTCGATCCCCGCCGGCACCAATGAAATTGTTAATTGCAATTTTAAGTGCTGATTTACCACGTATTCGGCGGTGAAGGAAAAAATCGTGAGGAATCCCGCTGTCTGAGAAATAAGAAAAAAATAATATTTCGAAGACATGTGAAGTTCGCCAACACGCATTGGGGCAGCGCGGCGGACATTTCCTTGCCCTAAAACCCTCTCAAAAATGAGAGGAGGCCTGTGTCCACCAGTGGGACGTATATAGGCTGTAACTTTAACTTGTTTACTCGCCTAGTCTCTATCCGTCAAACTCGTACTGTGTGATAAGGAACTTTGTTCCAATAAAACAATTTAGAATCCATGAGTAGTCCCTTTACATTAAGCATTCAGAGTTTATTCCACTGCGGATTAGTAGAATATGCATGCCTTCGATTCATCTTGAACATGCAGATTTTTTCACTTTACTGTGGATCTGTTACTTAATTTGAATATAGTATTTTCGAATAAACAATTCGTTTATGTTTCTTTGGAACGTAGTCTGTTTTACTTTCATGTGGTTTGGCGAGTTTTGTGGTTATATTTGCTCAATGCTCATGTAAAAATACTTATATTGTATATGTAGCACTAAAGTCGAAACGATTGCCTGTGGAGTGCGGAGTAATGGGTTATGACTTCAAACACAAGTTGAAGAACAATGGCAAAGTTTTGTCTTTTGTCTTATTTTTAAGTTTTTTCTTGTAATGTTTTGTACGTGGTAGAACAACGCTGCAGTGTCAGTCAGCTGCAGAGGAACGACCACACTCTAACAGAATAGCGTAAATAGCAGCGTAATACTTGTTTGTTTCGTATTGTGATTAATAGTTATAAATTAATTGTGATTATAAATAAACGCTGAGGAAAATTGCATGCTGTAGTGCTTTTTATAATGCCCCTGTCCATCGATCTGATGTTGCAGGCGCTGCTATCCGAACAGCTGGGTTTCAATTGATGCAGCACCCATCATATTCTGCGGACCTAACTCCGAGTGATTTTCACTTTTTTACTCACCTGTAATAGCACTTGCGTGGTGTAAAATTCGCTAGTGTATATGCCTCTTTAGAGTCTTGGAATCAAGCCTTTTTTCCAAGGGAATTACCCAACTTGCAAAACGCTATTTAAGGTGTATTAGCTTAAAAGGCGATTACATTGAAAAGTAAATACAATTTAAATATACTTATTCTAGTTTCATTGCGTTTCCAAAAAACTTATTAATTATATACTTATTTATTATATACCTAGTACATTTACAAAAGTTTAGACATTAAAATACATATTAAATTAACCCTACCCTTTCCATGCGTTGGTAGCTGTGAATTTTCATAGTTTTTTAATAAGTTCTCTAATACCAAAGTAATGTTCTTGGACACAGCATCGTTAATGCTCCTTTTATAATTATTCCTCTTCGACACGTGTAAGTTTTTGTAATCATGGGTTTCGTTTAAATAATTGGTGAATAAAAAATCATCCGATACGTCACTCCAGTGAAGGCTTGTGTCATTTTTAGTGGTTGCCAATAAAATCTTCGGAATGTCTTGCGCTGCGTTGCCGTCGCGGGAATTCAGGGATGTGAGTGCTATGGGAAATGTTCCATTTTTAGTCGTCAAGTAGATTGCTCCTTTCGCGTCAACCTCCAAACATCTGTGCACAATAAAAAAGTTAAAATTGATGTTATTATATTGATACAATTTTTGGTCGATCATTCTATGAAACCCCTGATGTTGTATTTAGTTTTATATAATATTTGCGTAAAAAAGTATTAAGAGATTTAATTGATTTTGTATTTCTATCGAACTACTGAATTCCAAAATGTCTATGTTCAACATAGTTTAGTTACCCAATTCTGTAAATAACCAATTTTAGTTATTCTTTATACACGAGAATATAAAACTTTTTCAGATGCAGAGTGGTTTTATTAAAGGTTTATTTGTTTAATGTAAGTAGGTACCTTTTCTATTTTTGCCGCATAACATCAGTACAACATGTTGATGTGCTTCGGTTGTAAAGACGACAGAGTATTTTAACAAACAGCGAACCCATCTAAGTAAGTCCTTAGGAATGATTAAGCACGTTTAGCTTTTTCCTTAGAAATCGCTTGCTGAATTCATGAGCTAACTAACCATTCATCATCATTACAGCCCTTCACAAGTCCACTGCTGAACATAGGCTTCCCCCAAGGAATGCCACACATGGTCGAGAGCCACCTGCAGCCATCGACTGCCATGTTTTACCAGGTCATCACTCCATCTAGTGGATGGCCGCCTTAACACTTTGCTTACCGGTACAGGGCTGCCACTCGAGAACCTTTCTTCCCCATCGGGTTGTTGTTTGTTACTATTATCTAATATAAAAATGGAATAAACCACTAAAATTAACTTACAGTAGGTGGCGCGCGTATCGTACCGACAAATTTATTTGAAAGTTATTTTTATATAATTCAACTTCAATGAATGTTTTACATTCCCAATAAAACTTCGTGGTAGAGCCATGCTGCAGCTATATTAGTAGTATAGTTGTAGCAAGAATGGGTCGGCTCGACCGGGGAAGGACCACGCTCTCACAGAATACCAGCGTAAAATAGCAGCTTAACACTGCTGTATTTCGTATGGTGAGTGTAGAGAACCGGAGACTCTTTTTACTGGAAAAGAGGCATTCCATCATAGTCGTCACGGGTGACAACGCATCTGCATTTTGACTCGCAAACGAGGATGGATGTAGATGTCAATGGGCCACAGCAACCACTTACCATCAGGTGGACTGTGTGCTCGTTTATCACCCTATCCAATAAAAAAAAATTTATTGGATTTTTCAACTTTTTTTTACAATTTTAAAACGATATTTCAACAATTATTTTCTTCTGCGATAGCAGGGCACCTGGTACCAGATATTCTATACAAATAAATATAAACCTAGCAAGCTAACAGCATAGCAAAGTGGCGAAGCAATCAGCTTTGTAGCGGTTTCTAACGGTTGCCGTTGATCAATCAGTTTCAAAATAGGAGGTTCAGATGCCTGGGTGATCAGTAATCGATTGCTGAAAACAGAATTTGAAAATTCTAAACCGTTCTCGAGATAATCGTGGGACAGACGGACAGACGGACAGACGGACAGACGGACAGACGGATAGACATCGTGAAATCAATAAGTGACTTCGCAAGCTTCGCCACTTAAAAATTGAAGTGTCTGTTTGTAATTTCAAAATAACAGCTTTTTACTAAATGCTTATGGAAGTATATACGTTACATATAACAAAAACACAATTTTTTAAATTTTTGTCTGTCTGTCTGTCTACCTGTCTGTTTATTCCGGATAATCTCCGAAGTGGTTGGACCGATTTTGACGGGACTTTTACTGACAGATAGCTGATATTATAAGGAGTAACTTAGGCTACTTTTATTTTCGAAAAATAATTAGGGTTCTGTGCAAAAGAAATTAAAACCCATGAAATCCAATCGTAATAAATTATTACACGCGGGTGAAGTTGCAGGGAACAGTTAGTATTATATAAAAAAACAAATTTTATTTTTTTAATGGATAATTTGAGATCACTAACTTCCGCATAGCTCAAATTCTTGTTACCTGTATTGGTCTACAGCTGGATATGGACCTCTCTCGTTACAGAAAGGTTGCTTTAATCGTCACATATAAGCTCTTATGAATGGTCAAGCGAAAGATCAAATATAAGAGAAACAAAAAAAAATACAATTTAACAAATCAACTAATTTTAACAGATAACAGTTTGTATCAATGTAAACATTATATATATATAATTTATAGACATAAAAAAAAGAATAATAATTGAATATAATACAAAATAACACTTACTTATCTTCACGCACAATCCCTGACGGGGTAGCCAGAGAGAACAGATCGCCAAGTGTCACGATCCTTACATACCTCTTTCGCTTCTTTCAGATTCATTAACTTCTTCATACATGCACGTCTGGGTATCCGAGTACTCTTAACCCTCCCCTCTTCGAGCAATTTGTTCACATGGTCTTCGAAAGTTAGTCTCGGTCTACCTCGACACCTTTTAATATTTACTTTCGCGCTATATATTTTCTTCACCATTCGGTCTTCACTCATTCGCTCAACGTGCCCAAACCATCGAAGCACGCCCTTATCAATTTTTGTGATAAGGTCATCTTTCAAACCTGCCATATTGCGAATCTCTTCGTTTCGCTTTCGGTTGGCCATGGTAACGCCGCACATTTTACGAAGAGATCGCATCTCCACTGCATTCAACTTGCTTTTATGCTTCTTCTGGCATACCCAGGTTTCGCTTCCATATAACAAAGTCGGTACCAACACTGCTTTATGTATTGCAAGGCGTGCACTCTTCACTACGCCTTGCCTTTTGACTAACGCAGTCAGGGCACCATTGACTTTGTTCCCGGCAGCGACACGCCTGTCCACATCTAAATCACATCTTCCATCCCGGCTAAAAGCACTCCCCAAGTATACAATTTCATTTACCTGTTCTAGACATTCCTGATTTACCCATATTTTACACTTCGTTCTCTCTTCGTCCCTTTCAAATACCAGAACCTTAGTTTTATTAGCATTCAAACGGACACCATTAATTTCACATTCCTCTTTCATACACGTGACTAATGCGTTCTAAGTTAAGTAAGTTCTGCCTCTGATGGTGCAATAAACACTGCATCATCAGTATACAGCAGACAATTTACTTTAATGTCACCCAATTTCACACCCAAACAGCTATCTTTCAGCTTCTGTAATACTGGAGACAAATATGATGCGAGGGTAGCCGAAAAGCTTGACACCATCGATGGCAGAAAAGAATGTGTGGAAAGAACATGGCAGAACCTTAGGGATGGAATGGTAAGTGCAGCGGAAGAAGTGTGCGGAACAATAAAAAGAGGCAGTAGTAAAAGAAGAGATGCATGGTGGAATGATGAAGTGAAAGAAGCTGTAAAGAAGAAGAAGAAAGCATGGTTAGACTACTTGGCCTCTAGTAATGATAAGGATATGAGATAGAAGATGAAAGAAAGATATAAGCTGCAGAAAGTTCACACGAAAGCATTGATGGAGGAAGTGCGTGAAAGGTGTAGAATGGAAGCGGACGAAAGGTTGTCGCAAAATTTTAAGGAGAACTCCAAACTCTTCTGGAAAGAGGTTGGAATGACCCGAAGTGGTGCGACGGCCTTAAGAATGAACAAAGAGCTTTCGTGAACCAATGACGTCCTCTCAGAAAAATCGGACGTCATGCAGCGATGGAGCGAATTTTATAGAGAAATGTATGCGTGTGATGATTTTATTGAGGGATCCGGGGGTGACGCCGTGACCGGTACGCCAGACCCGGACCTCGATGACACTGAGGTCATCAGTATGAAAGAGATTGAAAGTGCGATTCGAAGTTGAAATGTGGTAAGGCTGCGGGACTAGACAGAGTTACTGCTGCAATGGTCAAGTATGGTGGGCCTCGCGTCTGGGACAACTTTCATCTGCTGTGCAATTTGTGCTGGCGGACGGGGGATGTCCCGGATGATTGGCGATCCGCAGTCATTGTGCCTTTATATAAAGGTAAAGGTTCACATTTTGACTGCGGGTGCTATCGGGCGATCAGCTTGACCAGTTTAGCAAGTAAAGTTTACTCGAAGGTTTTGACACGTAGGATGCAAGAGAAATCGGAAAGATTTCTATGGGAGGCACAATGCGGATTTATACCTGGAAGAGGATGCACGGATCAAATGTTTTCTCTCCGCATGATCACGGAAAAGCTTCTGGCTGCTAACCAGAAGATTTTCTGTGCTTTTGTGGAGCTTGAGAAAGCATTTGATCAGGTTGTAAGGAAGAAAATGTGGGAACTGTTGCCGGGGTATGGTGTGTGGTAAAGCCTGTGTGATGATGCCATGTTTAGCGTCCAAACGGGCGTAAAACAGGGTTGTGTCATGTCTTCCTGGCTGTTCATACTGTATCTCGACAGCTGTTTACAGAAGCTGAAAGATAGCTGTTTACAAAATAACACTAATTTGTTTAAGTTATTCTGTTGAGATATCGCAGACGGTTACCGAAGGCGAAGACGGCGTCCAGTTTAGCCTAATATAGTTAGCCTAATCGAAATGGATGCACTGTCATCTCGACGACAGAATTCAAAAGATCGGTCTGGTATTTTCCATAGACGCCTCTTACGACACACACGGGATGAAATAGAGAAACAGTTCTGTCTAGTATAGAATTCCAAACGATGATTGTATCTTCATTTAAAATACCATTAATGAATCGTTCTTTGTAGTGGTTTTAGTCAGTATTCCGTATTGTAAAAGAGGTGAATAACTGAATATAGTTCAGCCGGCACGGTAGCAGTAGTTTTGTAAACAAGCGACGAGAAAATGGCGCTGGTATTTTAAAATACAAATTATTTCGAAAATATCGACGACCGTAAATAACTGAGCTATTGTACGTTCTTTCTAAATAATTGCTTGAAATTAAAGTGCATTTCGTATGATTGGTAAATATTAGACATTCATATGAGAATAATATGCTGCAGCGGTATTGATTGTTGTAACCGTACCATTACCAACGTTCTTACGTTTACTGGCAGCAAGCCCAGTCCCTATTATATTTGGTTTATGTTAAATAGAGGTTTTATTGCCATTGTTTTTATGTTTTA